GATCTTGGTAGTTTTGAGAACGTACATATGTTACTTAAAATATAGATAATATGATCTTCTGTAACATTTAAAAATTGCCTCATCCCAGCAATAAATATGTTCATGAAAGTAGGGCAAGTATAAAAATGTGATATAAAATATAATTAAGGAACTCACTATTCCAAGGAACTTGTGGTGAAGATTTTCCCAAAAAATAATAATCATAATAATTGTACACTTTGGAATTTTTATGTAGTATCAATGTGTATACTTTTTATAAATGTGAACTATCTCCTCCCCCCTTTCTTTTAAAGAAATAGGAATAGCTAATAATATATCTCTAGGGCTGGAGGTGATACCTGAGGTTAACACATTTTAGGGCAAGAAGAAGACTCTTCCTAGGACATTTTCTCAGAAAAAGTTTCAAAATTGTTCTTTCAGATGAAGCTCTTAATCTATCTGGATTTGACTTTTGCATAAAGTATGAAGTAGGCAATCAGTATTTATAGTAAATGATCCTAGCATCATTTATTAAAGTGTTCATTGTTTCCTCATTGATCTGCAATGCCAGCTATTTTACCACAGTGCTTCACATGTGTGAATCTTTTTCCATGCTCTTTTCTAGTCTACTAACCTATTTCTATAACACTATGCTGTCTTGAAAATTACTGATTTTTTTAATAGACCTTAATATTTGCTCCCAAAAGTCTCCCATCTAATTCTTTTCCAAGAGTAAAACAAGCTATTCTTAATCCTTTGCTCCTACATATAAATTTTAGGATCATCTTTTTACTTTCTATTGGAAGTCCTTTTAGGATTGTGATGGAAGTTTTATTGAATTTCCTCATGGCTTTGGGGATTATTAACAACTTTATTATGTTGTCTTCCTTTTTATGGTCTTGAAATATTACTACATTTATGTAAGTCTCCCTTCTTGTCCTTCAATGATTGTTTTGTTTTGTCTTTTTCTCCTAGGTGTCATGCTTTGAACAGGTCAAAGCCACCATAGTACTTTCACAGCAGTGCTTCTCAAGCCAAACCCTAACCAAAACCTTTTCTCCAGGCACGATTTTCATATTCTCTTGCAAGATCTTAGAAATGAGTTAGGGAAAGCTACAGAAAAAAGAGCCTCCCAGATTCAGCCGATGTCCCCCAGAATCAAGTAACACAAGTGCTGGCAAGGATTTGAGACAAGAACATTTGCTGAATTGGGAAATTTATTGGGGAAACAAGCTGAAGTTACATAAAATTGCTGGAGTCTTTTCTGACTACTAAGGAACAATTCTATTCCTTTACTTACTCTTATTAAATACAGTAATTACTAGCAAATTGTGACTGTTTAGACATAAATTAAAATTAAATAAAATTAAAAATTCAGTTCTTCAGTTGCCCTAGCCACAATCCAAATGCCTGATATCTACAGGTATTTCCAGTAGTTACTGCATTGGACAGCTCAGACAGAGGACATCATCATATCAGAATTCTACTGGCTGGCACTTCCAAGACAATCTCTTGAACAAAAATTAATAATAAGATTATTTATGATAGCACCGTATATAACAAGAAGAAAAGAGAAGGAAATAATGCAACTGTCTATCAATAGTAAAACAGACAGTTCAAACTTTACACATTTATGAAACCAAGAACTATTTTATAGTAAAAATCAATGAACTATAGCTATACACATCAATATGTGTGCATTGAAAAATATTCTGTTGAATATAGTTAGCAAGTTATATAAAAAATATACAAAACAATTCAACTAATATGTGTTAACAGGCAACGCCTGTCACATAGCTTTGAATTTCCTCATGGATGGGGGTTATTGACACCTTTATTATGTTGTCTTCCTCTTTATGGACTTGAAATGCTGTATTTATTTTGGTCTTCTTTCTGTCCTTTAGTAATTTTGTTGTTGTTTTTTGCTTCTGGGTGTCATTCTTTACATGGGTCAAATCACACTATGTAGAATGTGAGAGCCAACACAATGCTTTAAAAACAGTGCTATTTTCATATTTGGTCCAAGATTTACCCCAAAGTCATGAAAAATTTCTGAGTAGATAGTAAGAATAATGTAATGCTTCTGAAGTGGGATAAAGAAGGGGAGATTTCCATGAACCTTAAGTCATGTTCATGGACCTCTTCTTAACTTCACTGGGCTCTTGTCAGTCAAGGGAGGTCTGTTGATTGCATCTGTTTAGGCTCTTCCCATTACTCACAGGCAATAGCAGAATTCATGAGGGTGCTGTCCAGTGGCTTAGATTGGATCACAGATCCCTCTGAGAACCCAGTGAAGTTTAATGTTAAACCCTTTAACTTTGTACACTTATGGAATGAGTCCCAAACTTTGGACCAAAAAAATTGGTCCCAAACTTTGTGAAGCAGAGGCTTTAGAGTATTTTCTGGTGAGATTGAAAACTGATGTGTAATGAGTATTTTGCTTTTCATATGTGTGGGATCTCTCTGTATGTTTTAAAGTGGTTCATTTTTTCATAGTTGGTTCCATAGCACAGTGATCTTCAGTCTACTCTGAGTGAATTATAACACATTCCAAATGGTTGGGATATAACATAATGATAGTTGCAAAATAATAGGATACAAAATAATAGGATAATAGGAAAAATCAAGATGAGGAAAAGAATGTGAAGATATTTAGACTTTTCAAAGTCAGATATGAGTCATCAGGAAAAGCTTCTAGAAAAAAATCATGGGCTAAAGAGACTCTACAGCCAAAATCTCCAGTGTCTTATGCCTAGAAGAGCAAGGAAGCTTATGTCTCCTTCCTGCAGGCATGAAGCCCAGGCTCTTTTCCACCCTGGCACAGATGTGGGATATAAAGATCTTTACTAAAGATGCATTTCAAGATGTTGTAGGTTGGGAGATGTTCCAATGGTAATTTTCACATTTTATCTTTTAATCAACTACGAATTATGGTGAGGAAATGATCCAAATAGTTAATTTCTCTAACACCAAGTACAGGTAAGACAGTGAAACCTCTGTTACATTTTTTTTTTCTTTCTGAGAATGTAAAGAGCTAGAACTCTGCAATATGGATGCATCTATCCCCTTGACCTTTGAAAACAGCGCACCCAAGGGCTGTGAATACACCACTTGTGCTGCTGTCCTATGGCAGTTACACACACATGCCTGAGTTCAGAGTTTTGGAGTGTGCGTTGACATCTGTGTGTGTATGTGTGAAGATAAATGGGTCCTTGTTTTGATCAGGATATGATACAGGGGCCTTCCTGGCATACTGTCACATTAAAACATACCACCCACAGAATGAGTTATGACTTTTGGACTCACCCTCTTGCAGACCTGATCCCAGTATACTTGTCTTTTTACTACAGGAGCAGAAGCTTTAATAAAAATAGAACATTGAATTAAAATCAACTACTAGACAAATGGACAATTGACTAGTACTAAACAATTCTTTCTATGGCAGGTAACAAATTACTATAAACATTTATAATGTCAGGAATAGAAAGAATTGGAAGATGACTAGAAACGTTGGGGAGCCTGGTGAAAAAAAGGACAGTAGGGTATCGCAACTAACTGATTAGAATAAATATAAGAGAATTTAAAACCTTAGACACCAAGACTCTAATCTTGTGAATCTACATATGGTCATTTGGACACAGTGGCAAGCTGCCTGAATTGTTGCACAGGGAATGCACTGAACAAATAAAAAAGACATCATTACCATTGTTCCAGAGGGAAAAGTCATCCTCAGGAGTTGTCCACACGGTCATCCTGATCACACTATGGCTACTCCTGCCACGACTTAGGATTGAAAGTGATAAGCCTGATTTGTCTTTCTTAAACCAAACACAAAATTAATTTTACCACTTTTTTCCAGACCAAGGCAATACAGTTTTCACCTGACTAGTAATTTTGTTTACCAAGCTTTTGCCAGAGCCTTTTGACCACCAATTTGATTTAGTTTTAGAGGTGAATTTGCAGATTTTGGTCCTATGGTATTAATAATTGATTACACAGACAAAAGACCTGAGGTCCACACTCAGCCATAAATTGCTACCTGGCTCCTGACTGTGACTGCCCAATGCAGGGCTGGTCTGGGAATTGGTTAGCCTTTCAGAATCATTCCCCAAGCCTTAGTCTAAAGGAACAGTGGTTTAAATGCTGGGGTGTTTTCTTGCTCATAAGAATCAGATTGCCTCAGTTTAACCTGAGGCTACATCATTTTGTAGATTTGTGGCTCCATCATTTTGTGACTTTTGGAAGGCTATAAGATCTGGGGTTCATATATATGATAAAGATAATAATAGGGCTATTGTAAGGAACACATTATATGATATATGTAAGGCATGACATACAATGTCTGTTTATGGGAAGCACCCAACAAGTTTTAGTAGGTATTATAATTGAGCACTTGCTCTAGTTTTCAAAAGCCTTTTTAGTTTGATTAAATATGTAGGGAAAAGTCTATTGAGCCTGAAATTCAGACTTTTCTGTTTCTCAGGAAAAGATGTATATAAATTAATTTATGTCTTTATTTAGCTTGAAGATGTTGGCTAGTTGATCAGTCTTCAGAAATATTTATTTGAGGATGTAAGCCCCATCACTTAAATTAGTATTCCTCACTGTTGATGTGCATTTTGTTGATTCTTAATATCTAATATATGCATGTGTGAAACGGAACCCTATAAAAACAGAATTTAAGCATTCCTGCCAAACGGAAGTGAATTGGAAGGAAGAGTAGCAGGGCCTTTGCAAGGAGAAAGTTGTCCTATCTCTCTAACCAGTGTCAGAATGTGGAAATGTTTACAAAATGCTCATTAAGAGAAAAAAGGGATTGGAAGATAGAAACAAAATCTGGTCCACAAGTTTACACTAAGGAGATAAGAAAGGCTAGGCCCCTATAGGAGATTTTGTTCTCCAATTACTGCAACCTGACTTTTGAAGGGGAGAGGAAGAGTGGTAGGGGGAGGGAAAGAGAGAGGAAGGGTTTCCAAACTTGTCTCCAGTGACACGAGACATTCATGCTCTGCAAGATAAAACCGCCACTTACAGCCCAGGAGAGCTAAACCTTTCCGAGTTGGCCGGGGGGCTTGAGCGGAGTCATGGGTGCCCCAGTCCTGTGCCTGTACACTATCTTTTGCCTAGTGGTTCACTCAGTTTCTGGCAGTCCCATCATGGGCCTTGAGCAGTCACCCCTGGAAGAAGATATGCCCCTCTTTGATGATGTCTTCTCAGAGCAAGATGGTGTTGACTTTAACATGCTGCTGCAGAGTATGAAGGATGAGTTTCTCAAGACATTGAACCTGTCTGACATCCCAGTGCAGGATTCAGCCAAGGTGGACCCACCAGAGTACATGTTGGAACTCTACAACAAATTTGCCACAGATCGGACCTCCATGCCCTCTGCCAACATCATCAGGAGTTTCAAGAATGAGGGTAAGTTTGCGTTTTTGTTAATGAACTTGGTTTGCATATTTCTGCCCAAGAAGCAGTAAGTAAATTTACAACACATGGGATAATACGGATAAGTGTGAATACCTTCACTTAAAAGTATGTGTACATGGATATGCAGGAACATTTGGGTCTATACCATTCATATTGTCATTTCAGAATCCAAAAAGGTACTTAAAAATGTGTTTTTATACAGAACCACAAAATGTCTATGTCTATTATTTTGAAATCATAACGGAGTCTTTTAATTTTTAAAATTTGGACACCAAATAATTACAAAAATTACTGTTGGTCTGCAGCTATATCTTTGTCACTTTCTAGATAAGACTCAATTTCCATTTTGGATTTTAATTTCTGACAAAATTTATCAACTTGTACTTAGAACGAAATTGGTGAAAATAATACCAGACTGGAAAGTTGAGATTTGTGTATTGTTTAATCTTAGAATCAGTTTTCATTTTGTGACCTTGTTTAAGAAATGTTCAAACAGAATGCAAACTTGCTTTGGAAGACTCTTCCTAAAATAGTATTGTGTTTGATGTGTCCTTGGAGCACTTTTGAAAGTTTCCAGGAAGTGTGCATGACCTAGTTAATGATCCAGCTTATCATTTCTGTGTCTTTATGAAGAATAATGCGAAAGATTTAAGTTATTTTTGGGAAAATTGTGTCTCCCATGCCCACATTCTGCTGATCTTTAAATTCAGCAATTAGATCTAATGAGCTAGCAAGTTAATGCTTTGGTTAACATGGTACTAGCAGACAAAAAAAAAATTAAAAATAAAAATCTAATATCATAATAGAAGGCAAAGAAATTATTTAGTTATTATTTTCCAATTATGCTTTTATAGTCATTAAACAGATGAAAAAGGCATTTTTACTATTGTTCACCAGATGTTCTTGAAAGCAGTAATGCAGTGACAGAGAAATATCTTTGAATTTGGAATTTTGGGAGCCGGTTGACTTGGGTAGTATGTATAATTGGCTTAGTTTATCTGAGCCTCAATTTCCTTATCAGTAAAAGGGGAACAGTAATATATAACACAGTTGAGTGAATCATAAAAGTTTATAGGTAAGAAAGGGTACTGTTTACCATGAAGTGCTGAACAAACTTTAAAGACTCTTAATGACTTAGTATTCTAGGCATTGGAGTAAATGTTGAACAGCTAGTCTTTAGGCCTCAAGTTATAATTTGGCCTTCAAATTTAATTGATGGCTACAATGTCTATTTAGTAACATCTCTAATGGAAATGGCAAGCTGAGATTGCAGATTCATTTTAAAGGAGAGTCTAAGTTGAAAATGAAGAATCTCCTATGGGGATCCTTCCTAACGCTTCTCAGCATGGAGCTCTAAGTGTCTAGCTCAGGCTCCAGGTGCGAGTGGGGTGAAAATGTTGTTTGCAAACCGCCCTCACTTCTCCCATGGAGGATGTGAATGATCAGTGTGGGTGAAGCATGTCTCTGAATGGATCCCCAGTCATTGGATCTTTCAGTGTGTGGGAAGAAATGCAAAGCCTGAGGACATGAACCCCTCACTAATTTCACACTCTTGGCTGCTATCACCTCTCTACTGACCCTCTGGGTCGGGTCCATTCAGTATAGCTCCCTCAGAGAGAAAGACCAAAAAGAAAAAATCCCCAAACTTAACTCATCTAGGGAAAACAAATGGGAAAAGGATTCCTTCAATTCCTAGCTTGTCCCTACCTGCCAATTCTCTGCATTGATGTTTGATTTCTTCTGGTACAAAATGAACAGAGGACAGATATGTACTTTATGAGGTCATTGTAAGAACCATGTAAGACCATATTTATAAAGGACCTGGCTTGTGGGATTTTTTAGGAACATTGGTTCTTTTCTCTGAAATGCAACTCCTCCTGATACATCCATACACGCAAAGAACTTCTCGGTGAGTTTATTTCTTTGAAAACAGTTTTACTGTGGTAAGCAACATAAAGAAATCTGTATATACTTAAAGCATATAACTGATAGGCTTTAGAGATTTATAGTGATACATTTATACCCATGTTTATACTGGTAGATGCACAATTCATAATAGTTAATTCTTGGAAGCGGTATGTCCATCAACAGATGAATGGAAGAAAATGTGGTATTTGTACATAATAGAGTACTACTCTGCATAAAGAAAGATAAACGTAAGTCATCTGTTGGAAAATGGATGCATCTTGAGACCATAATGTTAAGTGAAATAAATCAGACACATAAGCTTAAATTTTGCATGGTTTCTCTTACATAAGAAACCCAAATTAAAATAAAGAGAGCAAAATAAAGAGTAGATGATAAAAAGTAGGGAGATAGATCTTTCTTAAATGGGAAAGGGATCAAGAAATGGGTGGAGGAAGAGATGAAAAAAGGAATTAAGATGTGTTATGAACATGTACCAACTCCACATAAGGAATGTAAATATTACTTACTGCAAATATGTACTAATAAAAATTATGTAAATCTCCATTGAAACTATCACCATGACCAAATAGTGAACATATCCATCACCACCAAAAGTTTCTTTTGTAATCTGTTCTTGTCACTACAGTGAGATTTTACTCTGTACTTTTCTCACAAGAGGAACAACCAATCTAGTTTCCCAGTTTTGGTCCTTCATGTTCCCTGTCCAAAGGAACTCTTCGCCTCCATTTTTATATCAGAGGGACAACTCCTACGCTATTTCTGTTTCTTACCCAAAAGCTTGATGATGTGTTAAGGACACATGTCATGCTCTTAAATCAATTGGTCTCATGCCCAGAATCACCAATTAATTAATATTTTTAAGGTACTGTCTTTGTTTAAGACATCATGGTAGGCTAGAGACATAAACAAGGAGTCTGAGCCATGGTAATTGCCACAAGAATGATAACAATCTAGTTGGGAAGACTCATTCATAAAATGACAATTGAAATATACAGATGTAAATGAAAAAGTCAAGACAGAGACAGAGAGTGTATATTTACATGACTCATAATGGACTAAGCTTTCAGTCGGAGACTTCAGGAAGGAAGGACCTCGAAAGGGGAGGCCAGAGATGGATAGGTGAAGATGAAGTGAGAGAGCTTTTTAAGGATCAGAAGAGCATATTCAAAATGCAAAGAGCACAATGAAAGGAGTCTTTCTGGAAGCAGTGAAGGTATCAGTGTTCAAACAAAGGAATTTACAAATTCATTTAATTGTTCAACAAATATTAATTGAACATTTGCAACTTTCCATGGATTATAGAAGATGAATGGAAATGAGGCTGGATCAAGACAATAGGACCTGGTTGGTCTTGAGAGCTAGGCCAGTGAATTTAAATTAATTCTAGAGGTGAGTATTTTCCACTGGCAGTGTATAAGATGGTTGGAGTTGGTACCCAGAGGAAGCTATAGAGCATGTCTAACTATTTTTATTACAGTATTTTTTTCTCCTTTGTGGCACTGGGGATTGAACTCAGGGCCTTTGCACCAAGACATATTCTCACTAAATTTCACAGGCTGTGCTTGATCTTGCAATCTTGCAGCCTCAGCCTCTCAGAGTGCTGGGATTATAGGTGTGCACTACTGTGCCTCGCCATTGTAGATTTTAAAAAAAATCTTCACAGAGCTATCACCTCAAGGATAGCCTTTGAGTTCTTTTAAGAGTTATTAAGTATAAAATAACCAGATACAGTTACAGAAAAATAATCAAAGAATATAATCTGCATCAAAGATCCCACTGAAATCATGAATTGGGTGCACAATTCGGGGAATATTGCCAAAGATAATAGAAAACCCTCCAATTGGTGGGCCTTAGCATTTTTTGGTGTTATGGGACCCTTTGATAACCTGATTATGGGTGTCCTTACGGATTCATACTTTTTACCTGAGGCAAGTGTACAGGAGCTTTGGGCACTATGAAAGAAGTCAAGATGATGGTGATTGGAGGCATATGTCTAAGACTAAAGGACTTTTATAAAAGTTGTTTCATATGAATTCTTGAGTGATCTGGATGTGCCAAACTCCATGCCAGGTGTTAGAAGAAATAAGACTGAGGAAGTCAGTCTAGCCTTAAGACCCATTTTCTCTCCCTTCTCCTTATAAAGGGACCATACACCCTCAAATCAACTCCTGTGACCCCTTGGTTTTTGGCTGGTGCATTGACCTCTGAGTATGTGGTCTAGAGCCAGAATCAGTAGACATATTCTGTAAAAGGCCAGACAGATAGTAACTATGTTAGGCTTTGCAGGCCGTATGTTCTCTGTTGCTACTAACTTACATTGTAGAGCAAAAGTAACTATAGACAATGCAAAAACAAAGGAGTGGGGCCCCATTTCAGTAAAACTTTACTTTTGAAATCATAGGCCATAGTTTACCAATCCCCTGTTCTAACTGGAAGTCTTTCAGGAATACCAGAGCCCAACCACATAAGAGCTCCACCTATTACACAAATACGAAAAGCCATGAAGTCCTTATCCATTCAAAACTTCAAGAAAAGAACCACTATCACCACACATCCCATTTGCCAACTTTTTATTGGTTAGGAAAAACTGAGTGCTCTCCAACACAATCTCCAAGTTCCTTCTATCCCTATAGCTCTGAGGCAAGTGAGCTACTCAAAAAGCTGGATGAGCTTTCTCCCATTCCTTAGGCAGCCATTTCCACGCTAGTTTTGCAGTCTTAGCTTAGCATTTACCATTGAACTTTCAATGTTTTCTTTGTCACAGAATGCTAACATTTTGCTTGTTTTCATTGCTCTTCTTCTCTTATTCATGCTATATCAAGCTTCCTGCATCTAAAAGTCCTCCTTTTACATAATCATTAATTTCTCTATAACATACTGCATGTTTGATTTTTGCAAATCTTGTTTTTTCAGATCTATTTTCTCAACCAGCCACTTTCAATGGGCTCCGAAAATATCCCCTCCTCTTCAATGTGTCCGTCCCTCACCATGAAGAGGTCATCATGGCTGAACTCAGGTTATACACGCTGGTACAAAGGGATCGGATAATGTATGATGGAGTGGACCGGAAAATTACCATTTTTGAAATGTTAGAAAGTGAAGGGGACAATACAGGTGAAAGAAACATGCTGGTCTTAGTGTCAGGGGAGATCTACGGAACCAACAGTGAGTGGGAAACATTTGATGTCACAGATGCCATCAGACGTTGGCAAAAATCAAGCTCATCTACCCACCAGCTGGAAGTCCACATTGAGAGCAGACATGACCAAGTTGAGGACATTGAAAGGGGACGACTGGAAATAGACACGAGTGGACAGAATAAGCATGACCCGTTGCTTGTTGTATTTTCTGATGACCAAAGCAGTGACAAGGAGCAGAAAGAGGAATTGAATGAAATGATTGCCCATGAGCAACTTCTGGACCCAGACAACCTTGGCATGGATGGCTTTTCCAGTGGGCCTGGGGAAGAGGCTCTGCTGCAGATGAGGTCAAACATCATCTATGACTCCACTTCCAGAATCAGAAGGAATGCCAAAGGAAACTACTGCAAGAGGACCCCTCTCTATATTGACTTTAAGGAGATTGGCTGGGACTCCTGGATCATTGCTCCACCTGGATATGAAGCCTATGAGTGTCGGGGTGTTTGTAATTATCCCCTGGCAGAACACCTCACACCCACAAAGCATGCAATTATCCAGGCCTTGGTCCACCTCAAGAATTCTCAGAAAGCTTCCAAAGCCTGCTGTGTGCCCACCAAGCTGGAGCCCATTTCCATCCTCTATTTAGACAAAGGCGTCGTCACCTACAAGTTTAAATATGAAGGCATGGCTGTCTCTGAATGTGGCTGTAGATAGAAGACTCCTGTGGCTTATTTAATAACTGTAAATGTGTATATTTTGTGTTCTATTTAATGAGACTATTTAATGAGGGTGTACAGATAATAGAGCTTGCTGCCTTAGGGAAATGGACAGGTGTGTTTGTTGTAGGAAATGCATATTTTGCTATTCAATCTAGTCCTTCCAGTCTGTCTTTCTTTGTACTTTTCATTTCCTGGCAATGCTATCTCTAAGAAATTGCAGGCCTCCAGCTACTTATCCTTCATGTCAATTTAGAAACAACACCCCTAAGCAAAACACAGTATCAAAACACACATACTCATGTATGTATGTGTGTACATACATGAACTTAGGAAAATATTTTGATTCTGTTGAGTCAGGTTATGCTCATATACATGCATGACTCACTCAATGTGCATATATTAAAGGCAGTCACTTCTGCTCAGAATAGGATTTATGTCAAAAAACAATTTGCGTCAAGAATTTAACCATCCTAGGAAGTATTAAGTTTCTGACAAACTCTGGAAATGTAAATATAGCTTTTGTGAGTTGAGTTTCCGCCATGGTTCAGAGCAGCAGGTCTGGTGAGAGAGGCTGCATGCTTGAGGGAAGAGGTTGTTAAATGCAGAAACCAAATGGTTTGGAGAGGCAGTGCACCTACGGGTAAGACAGCAAGGAATGAGCCCATGGAACTTATGTGCTGTACAGGGAAGCCGCTGATTAAGAAAGGAAGGCAGAGGGAACTGCAGGATGATCCTCTGTTCTTCAGAAGATAGGATGCTGGGCCATGAGTGCTGCCTTTATTGCTGCAGAGGGTAGAGGAGGTGGGAGAGAGAGAAATGGGAAAAGGATACAGATGCAATTGTCAGATGAGTTGGTGAAGTCATAAGCAGTTCTAATTAGGAAATTAAATCTCTTGGACAAGATAAAAAGTTCAAAGACTACGAGAAGGACAATCAGGAGGGAACTGTTCATTGTGCTCTTCACTTCTTCGAATACTTTTCTTCACTGTACAATCTTACCCCCTTGCCTCTGCACCACTGCTTTCATCTGTTCCCATCCTGCACCTTCCCTCTTGGTTTTCTGCTCTCATGCCTCATATCCTTCTCCTATTCTCCTATGTCCCCTTTATCATTGGCCTTCCTGACCCATGCCTTTGCTTTCAGGGGAAGAATTAATGATTTAATGTCTAGATTCTCCCTGATGTTTGACTTGCTTTTATTTCAACAATATTCTTTATGACATGCTTTGGTCATAAAGAATATGTAAGGTTAAGAAAAATAAAAGAGCCAAAATTCATACACATGAATTAGTGAACAAACACACAAGAAAATGACCTGAAAGTTAAACTTAAATTTTGAAGTCACATTTGCTCCATGGTAGAAACCCTACCACTTTCCCATTCTTGTCATTCTGCCCTCTTTCCAAGTTACAATTGACCAGGACTGAGGGACTGAAAAATGTTTCTGTCAAGAAGGGTCTGGTAGGCAGCTAGTTCTGCCCAATTGCCAATAGCTAGAAGGACATTGAAACTTTGGCTCCAATCTTAAGGCTCCCATGTGGGCTGGTAGACTGTTCAGGAGGGCAGAGCAGGTCTCACGTTGTCCTGGCATCTCCAGGCAGATGACACAGGTGAATACAGATGTGCTCTGCAGTACTTTGTTCCTCCCTGCCCCACTTGGATGCTTCTTTAAGAAGTCTTACACTTTTTTTAATGCTGGGAAATTTTCACTTTCTTTTTTACAAACCTCTTAGGAGCATAAACTTACATGCCCTAGCAAATAGAGGCAAGAAAAGCCATTTTGATGGTCTTTTTCCCCATTTGGACCTCAGCTGAGGCATACATTTCCACTGTTGACTAGAGGGCAACTCTTGGGGAATGTTTTGCTCCAGAGACAGTGATATTTGCATTGCCAGTGGGAATACAGTGATTGACAATTTGAGATGACCAGATGGCCATGCAACTCAGAATGCCTCAATTCTGGGTGAGCCTCCATAAAACATGATGCCCAAGTGCGTGCGTGCTTGTGTGTGTGTGTGTGTGTGTGTGTGTGTGTGTGTAGCTGGCTGTGGATAGCCACTTTGTACCCTCAGTGGAAGATGGTGTGTTCATTACATTCTACAGTGCACCATGGATACTCATAAACTCCAATGTACGTCTCATCCTTTCTAAAAGATACAGTAACAGTTATGCAGTAAACAGCTATGCAAGATAGTTTCTGGTAAATTTCATTGATTTTATTTCTAAAATGCATGGCAGTGGTGTGCTGGGAAATGATTTACAACCAGCATTCCAAGGCCCTGATTTATTAATTTCAGTAGTGTAAATTCTCCCACAGTGCCCTATTTTAAACCATCAATGAGATGCTAACAAGCTTACAAACTTCCTACAAACCTGCCAGGTAGCTCCTGGGAGCTGTGTGTGTGTGCTGGCCCCAGTACACAGTGGGGTGCCAGCCCTTGCACCCTTCCATGCGCTCTGCTGGCTGCACCAGGCTCCTGGAAAAGCTTTGTCTTGAGCACTTAAAATCATTCTGCTAAAAAGAGGTGAAACAATTAGGCTGTCCCCAGTAAGCCTGCATTTTTATGATGTTCTTCTTCCTTGTAGAGATGGAGTACAGGAAAACACATACTGGTTATTCAAATGTGCTAGTTGTGTCATTACTAGTATTTTCTTTCTTCTAATTAAACAACGAAAAGACAAAAGCCATAAATAGGGGCATTCTCATTCTTCCCATGGGCACCTCTGTAATTCTACTTCACAACTTTAATACAAAGTTATGGAATTGTTATTGGGAGAGCAGAACCTCCTAATATTTTCTTTGGTCATAGGTCTTCCAGTTATGGCTCACACTCATGTCTTCTCCTCGTCCCTCCTTCTTCTTCCCTTTTACACTTTTATGGCATGAGTATCATCACTGAAGTTGATAAATCTAAAGAACTCATGAGGAAAATTGTAGCAGAGGTACTTGGGCAGCCCACAACCAAAATAGTCATGTAAGTTTCTAGGCTTCCTACTATTTATTGACTGATATATTTATTTTTGTAATATAGTGTAGAATACCAAATATTTTATTTTTATGTTTGTGATTCTTTCCTGGATAGAATAATTTGTGCTTTTTAATTATTCTTCTTCTCTGGAGTACAGCTCACTTGGAATATATAGCCTGTACAGTAAGTTCATCTCTCACTTTTTACATCAAAGTATCTTTTAAGGAGTCTTGCCATAAGCTTACCAAAGTTTTGTATATTTATGTCTTTAGGCATGATGTGAGCCCCTTCATATATTTACTGATTTGTAAATAGTACAGGTTTAACTGAAGTGTAGGTGTTCCAAGAAAAATTTAACCAATAAATGTCATGTCATTCCATAAACTGACACTTATCTTATCATGAGAGGAAAATCTTGTGTGTCTGTGAGGTAATATGGTTGCTACTTACTGAACAGAGGAGGCATTTGATTTGACACCCCAAGGCAGGTGCTTCCCCTCTGAATGTACCCATTACCTTTACTTTTCCACCAGTTTAGAGACCTAATCAAATAAATCTATGATCTGACCTATTGCTCTCTAAATGTCAAAAATACGAATTCAGCAATTTCTTAACCTCAAAGGGCCAATATTTTGCCAGTATATAATTTTTGATCTGGGAAATTAATGATAAAACAAAATTCTTACTAAATATTTTGATATTCTTCATAATCTATGTTCTTTGAGTAAAAGATATGTTTCATACAAAAACATTTTATATATTACTTCTTACTGAATTCATCCACAGACCATAAAGCCCAGTAGTATTTTGGCTCATTTGTCATTTCTGCCCAACACAGAAAGGAGCTGCCCTTTTTAAGAATCATAAATCTTTTTCAGAGTTTCACTACGGGTTGTACTTTGCCTTTGCAGTTCTGTACGCTCATGTGTGATGAAAAAGGAAACACTATGTCTCTGTGAATTTTCTTGCCCCTAAACAAGGGAATTTGGTTTCACACATTAGATGGAAGTAAAGTAGATAACACTGCACAATAGCAGCAAAAATAGGTTTTCTGCATGTGAAAATATATTCATTAGTTAATGAGTCCATGGAGGACTGACCCTGTGTTGTGATCAACATGTTTCTGTCACACATGAGCACTGACTTGTGAGATCCCTGGCTTGACTGTGGTGGAAGCTGACCTGCCAGTGCTCATCTAAATGGGCTTCCGCACATGTAGGAAATGAGTTCAGACCTTGGACACACCAAGTCAGCAGAGCACAACCACAGTCTTGGATAAAACAAGTTCATTACCCATGTCCAAATTTATTTAGTAATTATTAGGCTAAAATGAAGATAGAAATAAATATTTTACTGTGTGTTCATAAACCAAATGTGTACATTCAGTGTCTTCTGATTGAATAAAATGGAAAAATTATTTTGACAATAATTATTGGCAACTTCTTTTTCCCTAAAGTGGAGTCTTTTTCATACCCCATTCCCCTCGCCCTTCTTTCACATTTCCATGCACATTTCACTCAGTTGGAATAAAATTTCTTGTGCCATGAGTAGAGAATGCCCTGAAGCAATAGTAAGTTGGGTCTCACAAGAGATTGAGATTCCTTTGTTAATGTGCTCTCCCATTTCACATGACTTGAATAAATCCCAAGAATGCCAGAGACATACGCAGAAAATGAAATTGCCTACATTTGTCAACAATTGGGAAATATTTCTTTGAATTCCGAATGAGTCATATTAAAAAGCAATTACTTTGGGGAAAATATTCAGGCTAAATTTCACTGATGTTTGATTATTAACCTCATAGAATCTCAGATTTAAGAAAAAAAGTTCTAAATAAGGTAGTCTACCCTTCTGTCTTGATGCATGCCAAAACACTTTTCATATTCTTTGCAAATATTAGTGATGAGAAGGGGACCAACTACTTCCTTGTGAGCACCTATTCCATTTTTAGAGGACTCTGCCTTCACTGTACTCAGTTCAACAAATAATTTGGGTCATTATGTGCGCAGGTCACTGGGAAGGCCCAAAGGTGAGCAGAAGCTTGTTAACACTTCTTCCCTGTGTGGAACTGAAGTCTTTCCTGGTGTCTCTCAAAACCTCCGGGTCCATAATCTCTTACAGCCTCCCACACCTCTCCAACCTACCATCTGCACCACAGTCCCTCTGGCTTACAGACAGCTCTGCTGTCATTCTGAGTTCACTATCCCATTCCTCTCAGGGCTGTATGCTATGGTCTGAAGGTGTATTGGAAACTTAATCTCCAAATTAATGGTATTAAGTATTAGGACTTTGGGGAAGTGACTGGTTATAAGGGTTCTGCCTTCATGCATGGCTTAGTGAATCCCATGAATGCAAAAGTCCCTTTGTTATAAAAGTGAGCTCTTTCTGCTGTGCTTGCTCTGTATCACCCTGTGATGCCCTCTGCCATATTATGCAGCAAGAAGGCCCTTACTAGATGCTGACCAGATGCCCAGGTGCATGCTCCTGGACTTCTCAACCTCTCAAACAGTTAGCTAAAGGAACCTCTATTTTTAATAAGATTTTAATAAATTCTGAACAAATTACAGCAGCTCCCTCCGCTGATACAAACAGATGGAAGGCCTGCACTTGGACTGAACCTGCCTCTCAGAGACAGCAGACCTGGTCAACAGACAGGCCTTGCTGCCTATTCTAGAAGGAAGTTTATTCTTGTGACAGAATTTGAGAATTGAAGGGCAGAGAGAAACCCCACAGTGGAAGAAGATTCCTTACATCAGACAGTCATCCTGCAGCTCTTTCGAGGGGGATCCTCCAATCTCCTGGCTTGCAGACTGCATCAGGCAAATGTGTTAGCAGGGAGTGTGGTCCTTGTCCTTGGCCAAGCAATGACAAGGTGAGAGAGTTATCTAGCCAGAGAGGGAAGGGAGCTGAGCACCCAAGAAGGACTTAAGCCAAAGCTGTTCTAAAAAGGGTTGAAAAGCCATTCTGGTGACTGGATTTTGAATTCTGTGGCAACCAATTCATTGTGGCCTGTAAATAATTCTATTTATAGATGTCTGTCACGGTGAGGGGCCTGTGGAACCATTCTCCACACATGGTTTGATTTGAGCATGGCTGCTGTGGATTACCTGTGCTGTTCTGGGGGCTCTTTTCTATTGATCCAGCCTCAGGTTCCATTAGATAGACACATACCGGCAAGTTATTTTGTTTGTTTATTATTTATTCACCTATTTATTTGGTTTAGAGAGACAGGGTCTCTCTATGTCATTCAGGCTGGCCCTGAACTCACTAAGTAGCCCAGGCTGGCCTCTAACTAATGGCAATCTTCCTGCTTCAGCCTCCTGAGTGCTGGAATTACAGGTGTGCACCACCACTCCCGGCTGGAAATTATTTTGGGTGGTAGTGTTTTTACAAAGTAAGAGAAAAAGTTACGCTCAAAGCTCATGTTACACATTTAATAATATGTTGCTAGATCTGAGAATGCTCCTAATGTGAATTGATCTTTGTAGTGTCGTGCAAAAATAATGCCCAAAGACTTACTGCATGTGACTCTAGTCACATGGATGAGAGCACACTTTTGCACAGAAGTGACTATTTGTAAATAAGGGGTCTATCTGGAGAAGGTGAGAGCTTGTTAACTTGGGCGGTTATAAATGGATTATGTGATTATCTTGGCCTCACTCTCCCGAACTGTCAGCTTACGAGAAACAGTTCCTGCCCTCTCTTAACCTCCCTTAGACTATTCACACGGCTCTAAAGAAGCTCATCCCAAGAAGGTCCTGAAATGCAAGGACAACTGGACCCATTTTACTTTAAAATGTGATTCTGAGACTCTTATAAAAACTTTAGACCACTCAATTCAAATTCACATTTTTTATGGAAAGCATGGAAAACCTCTGTCAAACCAAAATTCAGTAGAAAAATCTCACACATAGAGTGCAGGCCAATTTTCCTGCACAGGATGGGAATGGTTTTAGAAAATCTAGCCCCAACCCTTTATTAGTATTTTTGCCTGAAATGTGTACCATAACCTAATTGTCAGGATAACACAAAGGAACCCATTTGGAGAACAGTCTACAAAATAGACAGTACTCTTTAAATTAAACAGTTGGTAAAAGGCAAAGTAAGATTGAAGAATGGCTACAGACTAAAAGAGACTAGTTTCGGGCTTGCCTGACTGAGATGGCATTCAAGTACAATCAGTGATCCTAGAGTAGATCCTAGATCTCCCAAAAGTTGGCAAAAAAAAAAGAAAAAAAAAGAAAGGGTACTATCTTTTTGTTAAGCTCACTGCTGCTCAGTTGGTAGTATGTCCAACTTTATCAATAGTAAACTCCCAGATGACATTCGTTTTTAAAAAATCTTATGGATAGGTATTATTTTTAAGCAGTGAGAAAGTCTATAGGAGGAGTCTCTAGACTTTTGTTCAATGCAATGTCTAAGAAGCAAGCAGGAAGCATTAAAATAAAATCTTTCCCCAGTAGGCAAACTCAACAAAAGGGATAGAGCCAAGGGAAAAGTATTTTTCAGTGTGACAAACTGATGTCAATAAATGAGCTACACCACATTTTCCTGAAATAACCAGGTTCAACACTCAGTCCCCCCAAAGGAAGCATGCTTTTCAGGCAATAAACCATCTGCTTCAAGTGTTTAGAAAAAGGATCTCCAATCACTGGTAATTTAAACTTCCTTAAACTCCAGTTCAATGTTTGATAAGGAAAGAGTGCTAACAGGATGGGAACTGAGTTACTATATTAAGAAGCCCAGCTAGAACAAAAACCAGCCTCCTACAGTTATTTTGTTTATGCTCTAGACCCATCTGTTTTAATTAACATAATATTTACATGAGACCAGCTCCTCTTACGTCTTTTGCTGCAACTGTCACATGTTTTATTTTTTGTTGTTCTCCTCTTTTTAAAAGTTCTTATAAAAATACAATTGTAAAATGTGGCTGAATGAGGTGTACACAGTGAATCACATCCTAGCATTTTAGCTCTGGCCTTTTTGGTGCAGTCTGAGGTCAGGCGTTAGGTTCTCAGATAAAATACAGGATGCCTGGTCAAATTTGAATGTAAGACATACAATGAATAACTTGTTTAGTGTAAGTAGGTCTCAAATATTACATGGGATATATTTATACTAAAGGTATGGTCATTGTCTATCTGAAATTTAAATGTAATTGGATGTGTTTGTCTGTTACCTATAGCAGGTATTTTTCAGAAATACCTGCCAAGGTATTTAAAGAGTGGGAGAGCCAGAGAAAGATGAAGTCACTTGCATCTCCATTTCTATAAGCCCCTTTCAGATGATCACAAATCTAGCCTAATAGAGCTCATTGTTGAAGAACAGCTTTGAGATTTGAGGCTGAACTCCACTTGACTATAACATCTGCTAATATTGCAAACAGTAGTAATTCCTAACAAATCAGCTTCACCATTTTGTATGTGAAGGGCTGAGTCACAGTGGGAGTGGACCCACATCAGAAGTCACACAGTCAAGCAAGAGCCAAAGTAGGATTTGAACTGTGTGTCATGCTGCCCTCTGCTAAAAATACTCATTAGATCTCTGAGTCCCAAAGGCTCATCTTCTATTTCTGTTTCTTCGTAGGATTATTGTGGCCAGTCTCACATCATCTGGCTCTGGAAGACATTTAAAGCTTCACTTTCTAGTGTGAGCTCTTTGACAACCTGCAGATCCTGTGACCTGAGGGCTGGTCACTTACTCCTGTGTCCAGGGAACGGGAGTCCAGCCCAGGGCCTTGTGTGTGCTTATCTCACTGTGATTCTAGAGATCTTACTGGATGATATCTCATTACTGTTACCTATCACTGTGTAACAAATGTGCCGAAACTGTGCTTTGAACATTAGCAACCCTTTCTTTTGTGCATGAGTCTCAGGTTGATTTAGCTTCGGCACAAGCGTCTTCTTTGGATGGACATGAGCCAGATCATGCTGGGGTGTCCTTCTGTCAAAGCTCCTAGGTTGGACTCTTTGAGTCTCTCTTCTCACTGTGCCTCACCATGTGGCCATCTGAGAATAAGCAGACTTCTCATATGGTGGCAGAAAATTCCCAGAGAGTGTGTTTTGAGAGAAAGAGAAGCAGAGACTATAGTATTTCACCTCAAAGGCCACACAGCATCATTTCTTCCACGTTCTATTTGGTATGAGTGAGTCTGCTAAAGCCAATTTGGAAACAAGAGAAGGGGACTTAAACTCCATCTCCTGTTGGGAGAAATATTAATGAATTTTCGGACAGCTTTAAACACTCCCACAGATGGGAGCCAAGAAACCTCTCAGTGGATTGTCTGTTTTCTGTGCACCATGTCATGGTTCCTTGCTAAGACTAACCTTGCAGGTGCAATCCAGTCCTGCTTAACCACAATGTCTCATCTCCTCTCCGCTGGACCTCTCTTTTGACCTCAGATTTCCTGGGTGGGGCTCAGATTTA